CGCTAAGTTTCGACGCCATTAAATAGAAACGAATGTAAAAGTATTAGAACCTTAGATGACTGTAAATGTATGGAACAATGGACCGAGTTCAACCACCGAGACCCCAACAACACACTGGTGGTGAACTCTTAACAGCATAAAAAATTCTTTTTCACAAAGAATACACGTAGAAGTTTTTGAGAGTAGTTGACTGCATAAATTTGTAACAGTGTCGAAGTGTCCTATCCATGGGACAGTCGTAATTCTGTCACAAATAAAGGTAAGGTGAGAGACCACCGACACAGGACGGGAGACAACGTAAGTGACTTGTGCTTAATGTTAGGACGCAGGAGAAGATCAACAGTAATACGTCAAGTCCATTTCGTGCCAATTAATAATATAATAGACTGAGTTATTATATTATGTACTGAAACTCTCATCCGTAGATTCGTAAATTGTGTTGATAATTGATGAATAGTGCCGCTGCCACATGACTCGGAATTAAAAAAAAAAGTAAAAGGGTAAATAATAAATAACGATCCCCCGGGGAATCACCACTCGCCCCGGGGATTCGCCGGCGAATAGCGAATTACACAGCCCGGCCGAGACCGCTGTCCTGGACACAACCAGAGAGGGTCTTATTCTACTGAGACCCCTTTCGTGCGTGTGTGGTAGGAGAATATAAAGAAAAACACAAAAAATCATACTTTCGACACAAAAGGAACGCAAGCGTCGAGAACAAAAACTGTACCGGCAAGGACTCTGGAAGGGAGTTTGCCACCATCTGGACCGGGGCCTTCAGAGAGTCTCACCGGAAGCACTAAGCCACTACATAAAACAAACAATGAACATAGTAATTTTGTTTAATAACCAAATTGAACGTAAGACCACAAAGAATTAGGAAGGGAAAAATGCTTAAATGGGTCGATGGTTTGCTGTGCGACTCTGCTCCAACCAAATTTGTAGGAGGATTAGGGTTGTCCTGGGGTGTGGTATGGAACGGAGTCTTCACCCCTCGTAAAGTTTACGTTTTACCCCCCCCCCCCCACGATCACCTGCGGCCTCGACAATCTAATTGTAATTGTACGATAACATCAACAAGTTCACGTGACCGGAACGCCGGACATCGTGGCGGAACTCTCGTATACACACCTGACCTGGACGTAAAATGTCTTTCCTCACTCGTCCTCATCCATCAGCTAAGAACAGCACACATTTAGACTAAAACAGTCTTTAGCCTCTTTATACTGGGGGCCCCCTTGGCCCTCTCCCGTTACTTTAGCCCTCAGAGGGCGCTTTTCATTTAGATTGTATGACAAAGTGTTTATTTAATATATCTGGCTATCTATAGCTACTTGCTAACGGTTTAGCTTACCCCGCGATTCAAAGTAACGTCAATTTAGCTGTAATTTATGCTTTGCTTACATGTTCGCATAATTTAGTAGTTTACTGACATTTACATACCTTGTTTACCTGGCTCAAGTGGTGGCTCTGGGGTTGTTGTGTGAGCCACCACTTGAGAGTTGTCGTATTTTTTAAGAAAATGTTTTCTTATGTCCATCTTCAAAAACTGAGTCTGACTGACTGTTTATTTTAAACATTGTCACAGCTCACAGGATAGGTACCTGTCAGCCAATAAGACAGATGTTTATTTCCATTCAACTCTCTGGTTGGTCTGGTGTCTTGCCTCTGTTGCATTCACTGAACAAGGGAAATTACAATCCTGTCCTCCTCTCTTGTGTCATGATGAGGTTCAGTTAAAGCACGGTTAATGTATTATATTATTGACTCAATAATATAATGCATGCCTTTGAGAGTAGGCAATCTAGGTATATTAACACAAATAATTAAACATGCTTATCACGGCGACGGTGTACTGAGATTTATTTTTTTATTTAACATTATATTTTTTTTTGTTGCTAGGGGGCCCCTTAGTGGCTGCGTGGCCCTAAGCGGCCGCTTATGTCGCTTAATGGGTCGGGCCGGCTCTGCGAGTCATCATTACCTGTGTTCGAGTCTGAGTTCAAGTCACCCAAGGAGTGTTCGAGTCGAGTCCGAGTCATCATTACCTGTGTTCGAGTCCGAGTCCAAGTCTGAGTCACCCAAGAAGAGTCCAAGTCAAGTCCGAGTCACAAGTCTTCATGTATTAATCTTCGTGGATATATGTGTTGAAATGTAGCTTCTCCTCTACATTGCTTTTATCCTGTCATGTTATACTAATCTTTCTATTGAACTGCTGTGAAGCTAGTTTGGCTACAATTCTTGTATAAAAGGTGCTATACAAATATAAAGCTTATTACTAATATTAATATTATTATTTGTATTATTGTAAATTACCTTTAATATGTCTAACTATATTTAAAATGAGTTACCTTTTAGAAAAGTGATTATATTTGTATGCCAATATTTTTCTTATGGTAAAGTTTTCATTTTGCACTTTAATTTTGATAGTAATAAGATCGGGACTCTTGTTTTTGAAGGAACTTTTACCGGAAGTCAATGGACAACGGAGCAGTGTAAACACACATGTATAATGACGGATAGATGACGAAGAAATTAACATACTAAATAGTTGCATTCGGTTTTTAGCACCTGGCTGATAAGGGCCTACGTTCTTACGTTGGAAATGATTGTATCCAAGCAAGGGTGTGCAATAAACAGATACCCTGGTCGTTTCTCAATGTCGAGTAAAGCTGCTCCAGAGCCACTAGTTTGAAATGAGCGAGACCGACGCAGACCTGCGCAATTGCGACCGCCGTCTTGCTAGTGCCTTGCATGATGATGGTTAGTCATTTTGTCCGACTTGCTCTGGAGACTCGACTGCATGAAACGTTGAAATCTCGCGGGACAAAGACGCCGGCAGCCTTGAGAGCGAGGCGGCGCAGTTTCTCTCCACGGGCTGCAGAAGCGAAATGCTTGATGGGAAACAACTCGCTGGTATCTCCAGCTGAGCGCTCATTGGTGGTTTTTACCCCGTGCTGCTGATGAAGCTCTCCAATTGGCTCGGCAAAAGTTTGTTGTTGTTTTGTGTCAGTTTTACGTCACCACTTCCATTCACATTTTTCATCATTGTTCCACAATGTTTATCATCATGAAATTAATATCTATATATTTTATACTATACTTGCACTGCTTACCGTTTTCATAACTTAACTTTATATATCTTAGCATATTCATACACACTGTTCATACTGCTCACAGGCTGCTGTGTCTATATTCATACCCCTCACTGTTTATTCATCATTCACTTCATTATATATTTTATTCTGTAGATTGTGAACATTACTTTTCACTTTAATGCTTCTTGCACTCCTGGTTAGAAGCTAAACTGCATTTCGTTGTCTCAGTAGCCTACCTGCAATCTGTGCAATAACAATAAAGTTGAATCTAATCTTGAGCAGGAACTTACTTAGTACATACGTATCTGACATTAACGATTAAACACATTTTTGCATTCTTTATAAATGCAAACCGAGTCAAGCCGACTCCGAGAGGAGAGACTCCTCTGGAGATCAGAAGAGAGAAACTTGCTCTGTCATAGGCCTACTGGGTCAGGCTACAAGGAAGTGGAGAGGAAAATATCACAAACAGAATACTACAGGATTGCAGGGAATATACAAAGTTCCAGGGGCGTGGGTTTGGCTGGACAAGTAAGGAGAGAACGAGGGCATATGCAGTGGAGACCATAACGTTTGCCAAAGCAAGCCCATTTAGCAGTGTTCCCCCTGTTAGCCTTTTACACAATTCTTTGTTTTCCGAGGCTAGGAAGGATTCTTATTTATTTTATTCCATTATTATTGTACTCCAATTGTGTTATTTAATATTGTAGTTATTGCCTGTACAGCACTTTGGTCAACTGAAGGTTGTTTTAAATGTGCTATATAAATAAATAAAGATTGAGCAATTGACTCGGAAGACATATGCTACCAAGCAAGCGTCCTCGACATTGAGAAACACCCACTGTCTGTTGTGGTTTTCAAACACAACCTGGCACCAAAAACTGGCAAAGAAGAGGTGTCTCAGTTTAAGGCCCCACTGTTCACCAGTAGATGGCAGGATTCACAAAAATGTGGGTTTGGATTGTTAGAACCTTAATATCTAATCATTCATATGATGCATTCCAGGTTAAAGGTGCGCCTACCACAGGAGCCCTGAGGTGGAACAGACTGGTGAGAGAAAGGAATAGAGACTTACGTAAGAGCCTGGGAGTAGTTGAAGTGAGGAGTGACTCCCAGGAACTTCTGGACTTCATCCATCACTGCTGCAGGGTCAGTTCTCAGCTGATGGCCATCTATGATCATGACCTAAACACAGATACATTCATACTGTAACAATGGGTACTATTTACAAGCTAGTAAGGTAGTAACAACTAACTTTGGTACTGAACAAAGGTAATGGCATGGTGGCAGCTTATTTGTGTAACAACATCTACAATTCAGGTAAAGCAGTAGTAAGTGTAACATTGTGTAACACCCATCTAAGTTAATTGTAATCTAATAATATTGTTAGCCATTCCTTCAGTTACATTTGTAATAATCAATACACTATATAGAAGGAAAAAAAAGGTCCCTTTCATTCACTTTCTTCCAAATATAATAACCAAAAATATGTTTAACATACACATTTAGAATAAAAAAAAGTGCATGTATGTCTGTGCCTGTGCATACCTGGTTAGCAGGGTAGTAAGTGAGCCACCTGTCTAGGTGAGAGGAGTACAGACCGGGGAGGAGACAGCGGTTCTGCAGGGAGCGGAGCTCGGCCGGGGCTCCCTGTCTTGCACTAATGACATCATAGAAGGTGAAGCGCAGGGCTGCATGGTCCTCATGAGCTCTTTGATGCTAGGAACGTAATCAGATTCAGCCATATATGCTTAAAAAATGCCCTCTTATTGTACAATTGATCTCATTCCTCCTCTTAAACATGCACTAGTATATTTTAAACCTGGATGGACACCATCTTTTGTTGTTAATGACATAACATTTGAGCAGGTATGCTGTTGAAATGCATGTCTTATTAATCAAAAGGACTTAAGCAAGAGATTTCAGGTTCCTGTGAAATGTTTCGCACTGAGATGTTTAATAAAAATCATGTTCATTAACTCCAGATTCACAGCTTCAACTCCAAACTTAATTAAAATCAATACAGAGATAAAGCAGGTCATCTAATGAAGCAGGGAGCTTATGAGAGTAAAAAAAGAACAACATTTATCAATCAAATATCAAATACATTTTGTGTGTTTTTGTACATACCTGATACCAGCTGTAGGCCCTGTCGGAGGGGTTGATAAGCAGGGTGATGATCTTGGCCTTGGGCAGCAGGGCAGCGGCTCGCCGGGGGGACTCTTCTGAGGGGAAGTAGTTAGCACTCTTCTCAAATAGGAAGTCAGTGCTAACATTAGAGGGCACAGGGAAAAACTCCATGTACCTGAGGCAAGAGACAAACAGAACATTGAAAGGAAATGCTACATAAACACACTTGTGATACACACCTCATACAGAAGGACAACAGCATTACACATCCTTTTTAAAGTCAGATACAGTCACAAAAGAATGGCCTTGTGCATAGACAACAAGCCTAAAATTGAATTGATAGCATATTTTCAATGTGTTTAATGACACAATTTAAGAGTTAAAGCTTTTCTGGATGACTTTGGAGATTGCACCAGCTGTGTCTCTGTCAGCTAAGTAACACATTTATGGGTCAATTTAGGCAGCCATATGTCTGCAGGCTTAAAATATCACTGTGAAGATGTTTTTGAACTGTTTTGATCTGCTTAATGTATCATTGAAATCTGCAAGACACATTCAAGTATATAACAACCTTGCAAAAATGAAAAGTGGATGTCTATAATGTCCCTGTTCACCTTAGGTTTCACCAATTAAAAGGAACAGAGTGCATGAAAGATAGGTGTGTGTGTGTCTGTGCTCTCACCAGTCAATTCCTTTGTGGTAGTTATTGGTGTTGAAGAACTGGACCTCCTCATAAGTCTTTGGACTGGGAAAGTTACTGGAGATGGAGGGATGCATGAGTAGGAAGAGATAAAGTGCTGTCGTTCCTGGAAGAAAGGGCATAATTCATAACTGGCTCGTTAATTCAGCTCAGTAGAGAGATGTCTGTGTGTGTGCGTCAGTATGTGTGAGAGCTGTCATCCACTGATCCATATTGGATGATCTTTTTCCTCGGCAAGATTGCTGATAATGCTGTGTGTGTGTGTGTGTGTGTGTGTGTGTGTGTGTGTGTGTGTGTGTGTGTGTGTGTGTGTGTGTGTGTGTGTGTGTGTGTGTGTGTGTGTGTGTGTGTGTGTGTGTGATGATGATCACAGGCCTCCCCATCAACTCTTTCAAAAGCGTTTGACACCAATAAGCACTGGGGCTTTGGTCGTGCCCTCTGTCTCACCCTCAGCAGTCCTCTTTTCACCCTGTCCCCCTAACACTACTCCTATGCATTGTATTACATCCCCTCACCCTGTTTCCTATTTGCTCCAACATCTCTTTCATTGCGAGGCACACACCGCAATAAAACGAGAACCGTAGTTGTTGTAAGAGTGCTAACGTTGCTGTAGTGACCCCTCCTCCCATTTAGTAAACCATCATCTGGTAATTAGCAGCATTGTAGGACCTCCTCACCTCTCACATCAAACACCGGCAATTAGAATTCATGAGATAACATGAAGGCTGCTCTATAGAGCCAAGTAGCGTAAATAGATTAGAGATCTCCTTTTTTTGTCTCTTTCAAAGAAAGAAAGCCATACAAGGAGAGGTTTGTGGCTCAGCACTGTATCTCTGTGCATCTAAAGTAGATAGTGGGTAGAAGAAAGGAGGTAAGAGCCTCCTCCTTTGTCTCCCTTTGGCAGGACCAAGGGAGCTGTGGGGATTAGATGAACAGGCTCTGATGTTGATGATCTCGACACCTGGGCACACAGAAGAGGTGTCTCTGTTGTGTGTAGCTCACCTGTTTTCTGTGGCCCTATGACCATGAACTTGGGTAACCTGTCACAGGTTTTCTCTTTAGACCAGATGTCTTTATGTCGTTTGTCATCACAAGGGTTCTTAAGAGGCAAAGACGTAGGAATAGAGGTTAGACTCATGGTGTAGGCTGCATATAGAGATCAAGTATAAACATACATGGCAATTATTGAGTTCATAGTATTTACTACATAGAATGACTGATTTATATTATTGTTTCACTTACTTACAGAAAGCTATTTAATCTTGAATTCATTCTTTTTCAGACGTGTGAGACAAAGTTAGCACGGTGTAGAATGAATTCTCCATAAACCATCATAAATTTGACTATGACATTTGGGCCATTTATCGTATACACTTTGCAATTGTGTTTGGTGACATGTTCATTCTATGGAAAGATAAAACATAATAATATTGCATTTTTTCTTTCGTTTTTAACATACAAAAGAGAACAGTTTTGATCTGCTCACTTTCCACATCAAACAGCTTTTACAACCTGTGTTATTCCTGAACATCATTGAATCCACATAATAACACTGAATTGTACATAAAAAAAATGTACAGGCAAGTGCAAAAACACACAAGCCAGTACATGTGTTCAAATATTCAAGCAAACACACCTGCCAGAGTGGATTCCTTTGTTCCGGAAAAAGCTGGAAGTACTTGTGTGCAAGCTGCAGCGGTGGGAGTGTGTGGAGTTTCAGGTTGGTCCAGGATCGAATGAAGGAAGCCAGGTGGACAAAAGTGTAAAGACCCAGCCGATCATTGCCATAGTTAGACAGATGCGTCATGAATATACTGATCTAGGGTGGAAAACAGAGACAGAGTAGTGTTATAGAGAGGAAAGGAGAAATAAATGGAGAGAAGGAAATCACAAACTGTTGTGTGCAAAATTGTGATAAAGTCAAAATATCATTTCCCAAGTTCCCATGTTTGTTATTAAAAAAAAAGGGAGTGCGGTAAATCTAATTATTGTTGTTGTGACTGCAGTGGAAAGCTGAGATTATTTCTCAGTGTGTGATGATTTTAAAGTCACTAACAGAGCAGTCCATTGGGTATCAACATTTGCTACCACTTTTCAAAGAGTCACACTCACTTTTTGTGATGCAAGACTATAATAACTTTTGGCGCAATACAGTTTCAAATATAAAGAGAAAAACAGATAAAGAAAAGCTGATGTATTTACCACTGACAGATAAAGCTGAGGAGGCAGCACAATACTCCTCATAGCCACCGGGTGATGGGAGAGATGCAGCTACACACAGGGAAAGTGTTTCCGAGGGTGTTGGTGTGTGTTCATGATAGTTAATGTGTGTGAGGGAGAAGGAGAGACTTAGAGGGAGTGAAGGAGCGATAGTGTGTTGGTCCAGGCTATATGTCCACGCCTCAGTGCTTTTATAGACTGATCAAAGAGACAAGCTAAGATAGCTGCTACAAACACACACACACACACACACACACACACACACACACACACACACACACACACACACACACACACACACACACACAGACACACTCCTTTTGTGATTGGAGGGAGCTTGGGAACGTGAAGCGTCTGGATGAAACGGTAACATCAGCCATTAAGATATGAATTATTTGGTGTGTGTGAGTGTGTGCATGGATGATTGTAAGTATATTTAGGAGAATGTCTACTATGAATGTGAATGAACACACACATACACAGAAAAAGACACACACAAGCACACACAGTGAATTTCCTGGTGACAGAGGACTGTCGGTGCTCCTCTTTAACGCTGAAGGTTGCTGCAGATACAAAGCGACACAGTGTCGGGGTTTGATGGATCAGCGTCCGGCCGACCTGGAAAGCTGTTCGGAATACTGATTGCCCCCGAATACTAATGTTTGTGTGTGTGTGTGAAACACTGTGGGAGGGCCTGTGGCTATTTGTTTGTCTTTGTGACAAAGAACGCAACAGAGAAGGAACAGAGAAGAGCAAGGGTATGCATGTCAGAGCCATTTTTCATGTGTGTGTCAGCATAATTGTTTATGCAGCTGTGCGTTTGCGTTGTTAGGGCAAATGTGTGCATCTGCCAGCTCCTTCCTATCTTGTGCTCAATCTAAGCTAACCAGCAACGCATCATCCAGCAGCGCCTGCTTCATATCAATCCGGGTGATGTTAGGGCAACAATGAGGAACCACTGTCAAGGTATCACCAAGCACTCAACCAGGAACAACAGAAACACAAGCCATTAGGAAATGTTTGCTTGCTCGTCCTTTCCAATGACAACAATGTCAAAACACAGAAACCTTGCTCTTCGAAGCATGGATGGAGAACTAGAAGCACTGCTCTAAGAAGAGTGTAAGAATTCAATTTGACAGCGTCTCACAGGAGACATCTATTCACATTTGGGATTGAGAAGGGATTTTCTTAAGGCATGCAGCCGTGTTTGAGAGTGTGTGTGTAAAATGAAACGTTTTTTACTAATACACTACAAATGCAGACAAATCTGACCTGCGCAATCACAGGCTGTAAACCATTTCAGAGTCCACTTCTCCCTTTTTGTGTTGTTTTGTGCTTTTTCTAAAGCAGGCAAGGTGATCAAAAAGTGATTTATGTACCCTTCAAATCACTCAATACCCTATGATATTTGGCCGAGGCTGTGAGGTACTGTATGTGTGTGTGTGCCGATGTGTGTGCATGAAAGTAATAGAGAGGGAGAGAGAGAGAATGAGAGCGAGAGCGAGAGACAGAGAGAGAATCTGGGTGTTATTGAACATGGAAACATTCATTATGGAGCTTAAGCACTGGCTGCCAGATTAAACAAAGGGGGAGAGAAAAGATGATTTGTGTTTGTAATTGGAGAACTGTAGAAAAAGAGGAGGAATAAAAGGACAAAGGGGTAACAAAGGGAAACACAGAGAGAATGCCATTGGCAGGTGAGTGTGAATTAAAAAAAAAAAAGCCATTGGAGAGATTTTTAATCTCCTGACACAGTGCAACCCCCAATCCCTTTTGGTGGAAGAAATCACAGTGGGTAAGAATGAACTGAACCGTATAAACCTTTTCTCTTCGCATCTGGTGCCATGTCTAGTTTGGAGAATTTTGAATTGCTTTGAGTCCTCCATGTGCATTTGATAAAGGATATTTCGCTTATAATTTAACACCAGAATTGGGCTCAAATCATACTTGGAACTGGACTTGGAGAGGAAGTGTGAAAAGTGAGAGAAATAAACCCAACCCTGCAGCTTTTAATCTGTGTCCCTTGTCTGTTCTTCTCATTGCTCCTAAGCAGCTTCATCTCCTCCCTCTTCTCTCTTCATTTTAATGTCTTGCTCTCACTCTCTCATCTGCTCTACTTTACCATTTTTTTTCCTTTCACCTCTCCTCTCTCCGATCTCATGCTGACCTAGATGCTCTGATGAAGCATGTCAAAGCAACATGGAGTGATGTTCTTCAAAATCCATGCACACATGAGCACACAAACACTCACATACACACAAATGTCACGTCTGGGAAGATTAGGAGAACACCAGTCATGTATTTGAGTTTGTGACATGTTTCAATCCCCTCTGACATGATTGCATTTGTGAAGGAATTACTTGTTTTACTGGCCCTTGGTTGATAACGTTTTTTCCACTTTTCCATCTTTATTTCTGGCTATCCTTTTGCCCCTTGACTACTGCATTTCACTCCCAGTATGTCTCTGCACTCTCTCTCCTTCAATGTGTAGCTGTAGCAGCCTGTTTCCCATTACAGAGCACTTAGTTCCACATACATTTCCCCCTGATTGAATTGTTATTGCTACTAAAAAAAGAAGCCTACACCACACCCGACCGACCCCCCCCCCCCGCTTGGTTTTATTCTCTACCTCCATTCTTGCTCTTGCAGTGTCTCTCTCGTTTTTTCTCACAGTTCATCTAGCTGTCTCTATCTCATCAGTTGATAATTGCAAGCTGAACATCAATAGCAAATGATTTCGATACAATTTATTCTGCCTGTTCCAGTCAACATCTTCTGGCCCTTTCCATTCTGCCATCTTTCACTCCTTTGCACTCACTTTGTAATTTCTCCTCCTGTTTGGATTGTAGGGTATTGTGCGTGTGCGTGTGCGTGTGCGTGTGCGTGTGTGTGTGTGTGTGTGTGTGTGTGTGTGTGTGTGTGTGTGTGTGTGTGTGTGTGTGTGTGTGTGTGTGTGTGTGTGTGTGTGTGTGTGTGTGTGTGTGTGTTGATGAGCTGCCAAAGCTTTCAGTAGCAATCAGCAGGACTCTTGAAAAGGAAGAAGTGGAAATGAGACAAAAAGAAGTGCGGAGAGATTCACATGTGTGAACAACATGAACGGGAAAAGAAAATAATATTAGAAAGAGAAAGAGAAAGAAAGAGTTTGAGGATAGGTAGGAGACATGGGGGTGCGCACTGGGTAAAACTGAGACCTAGGAGGAAGCGAGGGAGATTGTGCTGATATTTGGTGTTTGGTTAATAAGCTTAGTGGCAGAGCTAAGCGCTAAATGTCAGCCCTGATATATGTCTACAGCTCTGCTTATGTCAGCTATACACACATTTATAGAAACATACACATGCACACATACGCAGATACTTGGATGCTGACACGAAAGCATATGCAATGTTTGTGCGTGTGTGTGCGCGTGCGTGTGCGTGTGTGTGTGTGTGTGTGTGTGTGTGTGTGTGTGTGTGTGTGTGTGTGCCTGCATGTGCACCACTTCCTCTCTGTATGTGTCTGGATTCTCAAGTGACACAAGATGCCGTGACCTGAAAATTAAATCTCAATCTGTCTGCCACCTTCTCACCCTGCTCTCCCTGCCCCCACCCCCCCTCCATCTCGTCTTGTCCTCTCTCTCTCTCTCTCTCTCTCCCTCACCCTTCTCTCACCATCTCTCTGGCCATTTATCGGGAAATGACTTGTGCCCTATTGGCTGTTTGCAGAGTCTAGGTCGTCCAATCGATTGTCGAGCTGATTTGAGACAGGGAGCTCAATGCTCAATGCTGATGCAGCCCGAAATGATGCAAAAGTATCCAAACGCACACAGACTTTCAACACATGTGCGTACGCATGCACACAAACATAGTTGATGCAGTCACAAACACACACTCAAGTGTTTGGTTGCTGTCAGTGTTTTACCCTCACCACTGGCCATATGTGATTTAAAGTCGCTAAATGGAAAGTGACAATGTTACCAATGTGCAGATCATCAAACAATAGGAAACCCCCCAGGGGACTAAAGCAGTGAGCCACAGAACACTATTGATTACGCACAAAGTGCACACACTAATGAAAGCTTTTGTTCCTGCACATGGAAACATAATGGAGAGAAGTAAAAATAAATCATCTGTCTCTATGTATCTGTGACCGTGTGCGTATTGACGTACGTCATTGCAACACAAGCCTCTTCATTAAGAGATAGAACAAGATGAGGGTTTCATTTCGTATGACACTGATTAAGAAAGTGAGGTAGTTAGAGAGAAGGATGTGGAAAACAGAGAAAAAACGTAATTAGCGTGTTGCTGGCTCTCAGGAAGAATTTCAAACCCTTATCCCTGTGTGTGTGTGTGTGTGTGTGTGTGTGTGTGTGTGTGTGTGTGTGTGTGTGTGTGTGATGAAGAAAATTAAAGAGAATGTGCTGTGCAGATGCATCCCTTGGGGATTCTGAGATATGTTGAGATGACATCATTGGTGGGAGAACGATGTCCGGGCCTCTATTAAGAGACAAAGGAGTCACTGTATCATTTTCACTGTTATGCGTTTGACTTCCTTAATAAATGACAACCATCATAGGTCTTTAGTATTTAAATATTAATAAGAAAAATTGGCTTTTTTTCTCTAGTTTTTGTTCTTAGGGTAATTTCTGGTAATGATAGGCTGAGGTTATATGGATTTTTAGCCAAAATACTTTTTATTCCCTATTACAATATATGCTAAAAACAGCAGTCAGAAGGACTATAATAGGCACATGTGACCGTTTATCTGGAACACCTTTCCCAGGGACTTCTTGTATACAAATCACTCACCCCCCCTACTGTAAATAAAAAGCCAACCACCTAGTTCTTAGTCTATTATTAGAAAACCGTACTAAGGGAAATGTAAAAACACTTAACAATTATTTTTTACCAAAGGCATTTTCTCCCATGAAAGTGCAATGGGACAAAGAGAAGTTAGAAAAATCGAAATTAAACAACAGTCATAGTTCTTATAAAACGGATATAACTCCTATTTTGTTAAATCAATCTTCAATATATAGAAGTAGAAGCTAATACAGCATTTCTGTCATGTATAATTATCAACTCAAGATAGTTACACATTGTGCTCAAAGGGAGAAACAGGGATGCACTGACATGTGAAGACACAGATGACGGACAGCACAAAAGAAAAAAAAATCAAACTAAATAAAACAGGGAAGAATGACAGAACCAAAGAAAAAGAAGAAAAGACTAGATTTGGTTGTTGTGGGAAGCTGCACTCAACTCTGTTATGTTGGCTGAGTTCTGACAGCTCCTCTAGTTCAGCACTCCTCTACCTGGCACTTCAATACAGCCTACTGCTGGTCTATGAGCATCTCTGGGTGTGCATGAGTGTGGATTGAGACAGAGTTCCTGGGAATTTCTATGCCTACCTTCAACTGTGTGAAGGCACGTGAGGGTGAATCTTAACTGCCACCAAAACCTAATTCTGTTCATTAATTCAAAGCAGAATCCAGTTGAGCTGACATACACAGCAGTGGTAAGCAAAAGGGGGAGTATACCTACTTGTGCGCGAGCGTGAGATTGTGTGTGTGTGTGTGAGTGTGTGTGTGTGCGTGTGACACATAGACGGTGTGACAGCAACTCCCCCTGTGGTGTGACCTAATTTAAAGTGGGGAGATGAACACAGCTCCACAGTAAGAAGCAGTCCGTGTCAGAGAAAGAGACACGTGCACACAGACACACAATCACACGCACGCACACACGCACGCACACACGCACGCACGCACATACACACACACACACAGACACACACAAAATAAAAAAGAATGAACCAGACAGAGAGGAAGTTACTTTTACAGAGAGAGAGGGAAACGAAGTTGTAACCTCTTTAAGATGCAAAAATCTAAACGGAAGTAACAGGTCTCCCTGTTTCTCACTGCGTATCGGTTTGTGTGTGTGTGTGTGTGTGTGTGTGTGTGTGTGTGTGTGTGTGTGTGTGTGTGTGTGTGTGTGTGTGTTTGTGTGTGAGTGTGTGTGTAGTTTCTCTGACTCACTGGGTTGAGAAGCAGGGTGAGAAACAGCTCTCCCCCACGAATGCTTTTGTCCAGTTCTTTAGGTCCACCAGGGTATTCCTTATAGTAGATGGTGTGAGTAAACAAGCCACAGGTCTGGCGGGGCAGCACCTACACACACAGGTTTTAAAAGGAGGAGTGGTTAATATCCTTAGTATTATCGCTTTACATAGAAAATGCAAATTAACATTCATCCGAGTTGGCTTAGGTCCCCCGGAGCCACAGAGTGTTTTCTACATTGCAAATATTCAGTAGTACTTCCTAGGAACCTGTAAACACACTCTGATGTTCCAATTTAAGTGCCATGTGAAACCAAAGTGATACAATGATTTGAGATTAAACAGCAAACTAAAGAGCCAGTTCTCTGAGGTTTTTGCTGATCATTCATCTTTTTCAAGGCAAACGTACAAACAAGCTAGATACAAAGACTTCATTTTATATAACAAAGAAAACAGCTAAAAGCATAGAAGACTAAAGGTGAAAGGATAACATGTATAAGTATAGAGTTAAGCTTTTCCACATTGCAGTTTTTAAAATAAGAGAAGCCGACAGCAGAGCAGGTCAAGGATATTCTGATGTGTTGTGTCAGCCAGCATATGGTAATGTACCTGTGGCAGTGGAGATGCACAGGTGCCAATTCTACAGATGGTTCAAGTCACATCATATTTCACAGCTGGAATTTCCACTTGTAATTAAAAAGTAAAGGTGTTATCAAGGACATTAATGATGGCTTTGCTCTATTTAGGTGTTGGACTCTGGTATTGTGTGTGCCGGCTCGCTGACACAGCTTACTGGGAAACTTCAAAAGAATGGAGCCAGCATTAAATGTTATTAGTTCCACCTGTGACTTTCTTGTGATGACGATACAATATGTTGGCTGTAAAAAGTTCAAAAGGAGTCAAACTATTTCAAGGACAATCCATTTACTGCTGTGCTGAAGCCATGAGTCCTGAACAACTGTATAGAGGAGATTACTACACCAGTAGAGACCCATGCATGTGCATGAATTAAACTGATGGAGTTAAGTCTTCCCCCTGCCTTCACCTATTTGGTATCTTGGTGACTCGTTGTTTACTGTAGCGGAGGGAGATGATAATGGATTACTGTAAATCCCACCTGGAGCAGATGCACCATGCACCCTTGGCCACTAAACACCGCCATGCCCTGTGTGAGTTACATACTCATTCATCTTTATAAACAGATTCTGCATTCATAAGTGGAATGTGTAGGCAATGGTACAAGATTGTGTCATTGGAAGCAGTCTGGTTTATATTTATTGTCTGAGTGTAACAGTCAGTGTGGAGAGTAAAAGAGGAGAAATGCCTAGGCTTAAAGGGACATTTCCTGATAAGGACTTAGCTTTTGATTGGCTTAAAATGTGTCTGTAAACTGGCTACAATGTGCAACAATCCAGTTGTAGACGTCATCTCTCAATTCCAACTCAATCCTTTCATCTCAAGGTGCTAACTGGACTGTTAAAAATGGACTTACACACAGACAATAAAGTCTTGGCCTGGTTATGGGCTTGCTACCCTGGAACCCCAGAAATATAGCCCCTTCCCCCAGAGGGCTATCGTCATCCGACCCTTCAGCTGATGGGTTCTGAGATTGCATCCTCAGCAGGGTACCACGTCTACTTAATCAGATTTTATGTATTACTACTATAGTAAATCTGTGTGGTTGATAGAGGTTTTAAACCTGACAACAACAATTACATAACTGCAATGACATGTTGAAATGACATGTGTTTACCTTATATATTCCATTTGACAAAACATTCCACTCTGAGTTTTAGAGTCAAACGTTTTTTTGGAGCGATGTAAGTGGATATTCTAAATATTCTATAATGTAAAAAAGCAAAAAAAAGTGCCCAAAACATTCAGTACATGAAAGAATCACAGATTGCATTGTCACGTGTTTAACAGTAGATGGATTCTTCTCTTTTCATTAGGTCATTAAATGAATTAAATGAACAAAAAGAGAAGAAGGTCTTTATTGGGAACTCCTTGCGGAACACTTCTCTGTGTGAATTAGAGAGTAAAAGCATGAAGCGCAGATATTGGTATATCTATAAAACACTGCAGTCGTTCACACACACACACACACACACACACACACACACACACACACACACACACACACACACACACACACAC